CAGCCCCCAGGGCACGGCGAGGTCTCGAGGTGATCCGCGTGGGACCCACCTCCGCTTGGCCTCCCAGGAGCCCACGAACGTGGCGACAGTTGCGCAGATCGCAAGCCCCCCAGGGGCGGCCAGGTTTCGAGGTGATCTGCGTGGGACCCACCTCCGCTGGGCCTCCCAGGAGCCCACGAAAGTGGCGACAGTTGCGCAGATCGCAAGCCCCCCAGGGGGCGGCGAGGTCCCGAGGTGATCCGCGTGGGGCCCACCTCCGCTGGACCTCCCAGGGCCCACGAAAGTGGCGACAGTTATGCAGACCGCAGCCCCCAGGGCACCGCGAGGTCTCGAGGTGATCCGCGTGGGACCCACCTCCGCTGGGCCTCCCAGGAGCCCACGAAAGTGGCGACAGTTGCGCAGATCGCAGCCCCCCAGGGCGCCGCGAGGTCTCGAGGTGATCCGCGTGGGACCCACCTCCGCTGGGCCTCCCAGGAGCCCACGAAAGTGGCGACAGTTGCGCAGATCGCAGCCCCCAGGGCACCGCGAGGTTTCGATGTGGTCAGCGTGAGACCCATCTCCGCTGGGCCTCCCAAGAGCCCACGAAAGTGGCGACAGTTGCGCAGATCGCAGCCCCAAGGGCACCGCGAGGTCGCGAGGTGATCCGCGTGGGGCCCACCTCCGCTGGGCCTCCCAGGAGCCCACGAAAGTGGCGAGAGTTGCGCAGATCGCAGCCCCCAGGGCACCGCGAGGTCTCGAGGTGATCCGCGTGGGACCCACTTCCGCTAAGCCTCTCAGGAGCCCACGAAAGTGGCGACAGCGTTGCAGATCGCAGCCTCCAGGGCACCGCGAGGTCTCGAGGTGATCCGCGTGGGACCCACCTTCGCTGGGCCTCCCAGGAGCCCACGACAATGGCGACAATTGCGCAGATCGCAGTTCGACGGCACGAGAGACGAGGAGAGGGGAACACAGGAGACAGGAGAGGAGGAGGGGAGGAGGGGGGAGGAGAAGGAGAAGGAGGAGACCGGGGCGACCACACTGCTGTATTCAAAACGAGTACCCAACCATAGGAGGGTTGGGAAAAAACATAAGGCTTCGCAATTCTGATGTTCTCCAAAAGCTTACGCGCGCTCTCTTGCGATATCTTAAGAAAACATATGTTGCGTATTTGTTTGGGAAAGCTACTACCAAACGGGCTTCGCGCGCGCGCATGTCGAAATCGTTTGAACACCCTTGCTCGCATGCCGTCGCGAGAACCCTCTGCAACAAATGGACGAAGTGCACGCGCGCGCGTCGTCGCGCGCGCATGCCGAAATCCTCCAAACACCTCAGTTTTCGGAAGGGTTTCAAAGGCGAGTTTTCAAAACAAAAAACAGACAAAAACAGTATATTCAGCGTGCGCGCGCGCTCTTGCGTCGTCGTCGTCGCCGTCCTCCCCCCTCGCTCGTCGTCGTCGTCGTCGTCGTCCTCTGTTTTTCCTCATCGTCGTTGTCGTCGTCCTCTTTGGCGTCGTCGTCGTTTCCGTCGTCGTTGTCGCCGTTGTCGTCCTTCCTTTTCCTTCGTCGTCGTCGTCGGCCGTCGTCGGCGTCTCGTCGTCGTCCCTCCTATTTCGTCGCCGTCGTCGTCGTCGTCGTCGTCGTCGTCGTCGTCGTCGTCTTCCCTCCTCCCTCGTCGTTGTCGTCGTCGGCGTCGCCGTCCTCCCTCCTTCTTCGTCGTTCGCGTCGTCGCCGTCCTCCCTCCTCCCTCGTCGTTGTCGTCGGTGTCGCCGTCGTCCTCCCTCCTCCTTCGTCGCTGTCGTCGTCGCTTTCGTTGGCGACGTCGTCATCGTCGCCTTCGTTAGCGACGTCGTCGTCGTCGTCGGCGTTGTCATCGTCGTCGGCGGCGTTGTCATCGTCGTCGGCGTCGTCGTCGTCGTCGGCGTTGTCATCGTCGTCGTCGTCGGCGTCGGCGTCGTCGTCGTCGGTGTCGTCGTCGTCGTCGGCGAGGTCGTCCTCCCTCCTTCTTCGTCGTTCGCGTCGTCGCCGTCCTCCCTCCTCCCTCGTCGGTGTCGTCGTCGGCGTCGCCGTCATCCCTCCTTCTTCGTCGGTCGCGTCGTCGCCGTCCTCCCTCCTCCCTCGTCGTTGTCGTCGTTGTCGCCGTCTTCGTCCTCCCTCCTCCCTCGTCGTCGTCGTCGCCTTCGTTGGCGACGTCGTCGTCGTCGTCGGCGGCGTCGTCGCAGTCGTTGTCGGCGTCGTCGTCGTCGGCGTCGGCCTCGTCGTCGTCGTCGTCGTCTGCGTCGGCGGTCGTCGGCGTTGTCATCGTCGTCGTCGTCGTCGGCGTCGTCGTCGTCGTCGTCGTCGTCGAAGTCGTTGGAGACGCCGTCGGTGTCGTCGTAGTCGTTGTCGGCGTCGTCGTCGTCGTTGTCACTGCCGTCGTCGGCATCGGTGTCGTTGCCAAGTGCTATTTGGTACCTACCGTCACAGTCTTAAGAGGTCTTGCGACCAAGTTGCGGGCGAGAGAGTGGGATGTTTGCACGAGCAGTGGAGAGGACAGCTTCAAGTTGAGCAAGTGATTGATTGCACCGCATATATTGCACCGCGTAGATTGCATTACATAGGGTGCACCGCGTAGAGGAAATAGGTTCTACCACCCTCCACCATCGGGTATAAAGACCTCCCGGGAACCGATGCAAAACACAGGATTCTGACCCAATGTCCATCTTACCTGTGAATTCATACTATCCCAGCCAGGCCGGTATCGGTCCCCACCGCTATCCTCTGCAACAAATTTTATGCGCGCGCGCTCGTTTAGAAAAAAACGTAAGTTTTCGAAAATCCTTTTGCAACACATCTGACGAATTGCACACGCGCGCGTCGTCGCGCGCGCATGCCGAAATCCTTCAAGCATTTTCGGTTTCGGAAGGATTTCAAAATTGAGTGTCGAAAAAGACATACAAACACATGGGCTCGCAACACGAATTTTCAAAACAAAGATGCGCGCGCGTTCTTGCGTGTTCTTACGGAAACCATATGTTTTCAACGTGTTCAGAAGATACTACTAAGCTGGCTTGGCGCGCGCATGTCGAAATCGTTCGAACGCCCTTGCGCGCATGCCGTCGCGATAATCTTCTACAACAAAAAGGACGAAGTGCACGCGCGCGTGCCGTCGCACGCGCATGCCGAAATCCTCCAACAACCTTCGGTTTCGGAAGGATTTCAAAATCGAGTGCCCAAACAAACATATAAAAACGCAGGACTTCGCAACACGGATGTTCAACAAAAGCGTGCGCGCGCTCTTGCGAATTCTCAAGGGAACCATCAGTTTTCATCATTGTCATAACCTGCTACCGCGCGCATTTCGAAATCGTTCGAACGCCTTTGCGCGCGTGCTGGGGTGTCACGCTCCGTATCAAATAATACCACGTGGGCCACTCTCGCGCGTCTGCCGCGCGTGCATTTCGAATTCTTTCCAAAACCTTCACCACCGACGCGACAACACCGTCATCGTCGTCGGCTCGATCGGCATCGGCGCCGTCACTGGCCGTGCCGTCGTCGCTGTCAGCATCGTCGCCAACATCGCTACTATCATCATCATCATCATCATCATCATCATCATCATCATCATCATCATCATCATCATCATCATCATCATCATCATCATCATCATCGTGTCTACACTTGTCGACGTTGCCATGATACTGCGCACGCCCGAGTCGCCGACCCGCATTCAAGTGCCCGTCTGGATGTGCCGAGCGGTCAGCACCACCGCGGCCGCGTCGGTCGCGCCAAGCTACTTGGCCGCTGCGAACGCGCGCATGCGTGGGCTGGCGCGGCCGCAGAGACGCACCCGCCAGCGCCAAGCACTCATCGTAATCGCCGCCGCATGAGGGTTGCAAACTAAATTGCGGGTGTGTGGGTGGGATGTTTGCGCGAGCAGTGGAGTGAACAACTCATTGCGAACAGGAGTTGATTGCACCACGTAGATTTCACCGCATAGATTGCACCACGTAGATTGCACCGCATATGCTGGACCGCGCAAATTGCATGACATAGGTTGCATCGCACTCATTGTGCCACATCGATTTTGCCGCATAGACTGCAATCACCTCCTGTTTGGGTTCCAGAATGGCTAACATTTTGTAAATGATATGTATATATGTAAATATATCCATATGTATATATGTATGTGTATCTGTATATAAATACCAGCTTTGTTGTTTGTGGTGTGCTGTCTTTCCCTGGGTAGTCGAAGGCCAGACTGTCAGATTGGATTGGGCCCCAAGGGCCAATCTGGCCCGGCCAAACTGGATGAGTTGGGTTATTCGCCAGACTGGATTCGCGTTGGCCCCCTCGCCAGATTGCCCCCGTTTGCCAGATTGGGCCTGCCAGATTGGCGCCAGATTGGCTTCGACTACCCAGTTTCCCTTTTGCATACCGTTGTCGTTTGTTTTCTGGGGGTTCTGTCCCCCCATGCTCACCCGCACACACAACACACAACACAACACACAGACACCTAAACACATGCTCACACACACACACGCACACACTCAACACACAGACGCAACACACACAACATACAATTCACACACGAATCATACACAACACACAACACACAACACACAACACACAACACACACAACGCACAACACACACACACACACACTCACGCACACAACTCACACGAAACACACACGCCTCCTCCTTCACATCCGAGTCCGAACAGGTCCTCCTGTCTCCTCCTGTCTCTCTCTCTCTCTCGCTCTCTCTCTCTCTCTCTCTCTCTCTCCCCCTTTACCATGTTGGAAAAAGACCCCGCACAGCTCACCAGCTATCCTTGCAAACCATTTAGAGCCATTCCTCCCCGTACCCCTTCACCCTATCTCCTCGTCGTCCTCGTCGTCGTCTGCGGCGGCGGCGTCGTCGTCCTCCTCCTCCCCCTCCTCCTTTTCCTCCTTATCCTCCTCCTCTTCCTCCTCCTTCTCCTCCTCCCAGCGGTCTCTGAAGTGCCCCCGGGGGCCTGCTGTTGCCCCCTCCCTCCTGGAGGGCGTGCGCGGCGACCCGGACAGAGATGCCCTCTACTTGGGCCTGCCCGACAGCGGGATCGCGCAGTCCTTGGGCATCGACCTCGGGGAGGCGGCTGTGTCGTCCCGCGCGCGGGAGGGCGAGTCCTTCAAGGGTCCTCTGGGGGCGCTCCAGGGTGCTCTCGGGGGAATTCGTGCGGGCTGCGGGGGGGTCTCGGCGGTCTGCGGAGGTCTTCGGGGAGTTTCGGAAGTGTGGGTTTCTGTGTTGGAAGGGTCTTTGAATCACCACCCACCAAACCAACCCAACCCAACCCGAAGGTCTCGATTTGCCCTCCATGTCCAGTTGGGGGGGTCGGGGAACATCGAGGAAACACATGTGGAACCCGTACCCCCCCCGACCCGAAATCCCGGTCTTCGGGTTGGGTTGGGGTGGTCTGGTAGGTAGTCATTGGAAGCCTTCGGGGGACGCGAAGGGTCCCCGCAGGGCCCTTCGGAGGTGTCTCGGAGGCTTCTGCAGAGGTCTATTTCGAGTGTCCAGGAGGGCTGCGGTGCTCTCTTCACGGCTGCGGGGGACTTCTCGGAGGGCGCTTCGGAGATCTCCGGAGGTCTTCGGAGACTTTTTGGAGGTTTCCATGGTCTTTTGGAGATTTTGGATCTTCGAAGGTCTTTCGGAGATTTTGGAGGTCTTCGAAGGTCTTCGAGATCTTCGAAGGTCTTCGAAGGTCACGGCTTCGGGTGACTTTGGAGGTTTTCATGGGTCTTGGGGGCCCTCGGGAATTGTTCGGAGGCCGTCTGCGAGATTCTGTCGCCGATCGCGAGCGTCTGTCACCGATCCATCTGGAACTTCCAGGCCGGCCTTCCCTCCTGCAGCCGGCCTTCCTGGGAGATCGGGGCGCAGAATGGCAGCAGTCAGGGAGGGAGCGGAGGAGGGCGGAGGAGGGAGGGATGGGGATCTGTCGGCCTGGTCTGTCCTTTCCTCTCGTCGTCACTCCCTTTCCCCCTCCCCTTGCTCGCCCCTCGGCTCCTCGCTCTCCTGGCTCTTTCAGTTTCGTCCCTGGCCCGCTTCTTTTTGTCGGCCCGCCCCGCAGTCCGAATGAAAGCTGCGTCGGCTGGAACGGTTACCCTGTTATGTGAAAGATGGCCCAGCGCTGCGCGCTCCAGGGCCGCGAAAGAAAGACAGGAGGAGAGGCGGGCGGAGGGGCGAGGGTTGATCGCTAAACTCCTGAGGTGTGTGAGCCAAGCTTCGAGTTGCAGTGTGTGTTTCCCCTTTCCCCCTTCCTTTGTTCGTCGTCGTCGCTGCCGCCGCTGCCAGAGCCGCCGCCGTCGGCGTCACCGTCGCCGCCGCCTTTGTCCGCTGCGAGCCAGCAAGCACGTCGTCAGCGGCCGCATCGTCGTCATCGCCGCCGCCGTCGCTGTGCGCCGTCATCGGCCGTCGTCATCCTCCTCCTCCTCCTCCTCCTCCTCCTCCTCCTCCTCCTCCTCCTCCTCCTCCTCCTCCTCCTCTCCTCCTCCTCCTCCTCCTCCTCCTCCTCCTCCTCCTCCTCCTCCCCCTCCTCCTCCTCCTCCTCCCCCCCCCTCCTCCTCCTCCTCCTCTCCTCCTCCTCCTCCTCCTCCTCTCCTCCTCCTCCTCCTCCTCCTCCTCCTCCTCCTCCTCCTCCTCCTCCTCCTCCTCGCCGTCGCCGTCGCCGTCGCCGTCGCCGTCGCCGCTGCCGCGGCGGGCCGGCCGGCCGGCCGGGCCGGCCGCCGAGCGCCGAGGTGAGCAGCTACTGCCTCGGCGGGGCCGGGTTCCTCCTCAGCCGCGGGGCCGCGGGCGCGCTGCGCGGCCAGGACGTCCGCTGCGGGTCTGCGAAAACGACGCGAAGGTCGGGGCAAAATCGGATCGGGATAGCTCGAAGTCTCTGAGAATCGGCGGGCTCGGAGGATGTATTGGGCGCCGCGGCCGCTCCAGAGCGCTCCGGAACGCTCTGAGAGCGCTCCGGAACGCTCTGGAGCGATTTATCCCGATCCTAGCCCTGTTTTGTTTGCGCAGCGGCCCGCCGCCGCCCGCCGCGCGCCAGGACGGACGGAAGCGGCGCGGCGGGCGGCGGACGGCGGCGACGGGCGCCGGCGGCGGCGAATGGCGGCGGCGAATGGCGGCGGCGACGGCGGCGGACGGCGGCGGCGGCGAAAGACGACGGCGACAGATGGTGGCGGCGGCGGTGCAGGCGGCGGTGTCGTCCGTCGTCGTCCATCTTCCGTCGTCCGTCGTCGTCGTCGTCGTCGTCGTGCGTCGTGCGTCGTGCGTCGAGCGTCATCGTCATGCGTCGTTGTCGTTGCCGTCCTGGCGCGGCGTGCAGACCGCACAGCGGCGGTCTTCGGGGGCTCGCTCAACCCAAAAAATGCGGGCAGACGCTGCGGCCCGCACATCGCGTGCTGCCGTACGACCTTGCAGGCGAGTTTGGTGTGTGTGTGTGCGTGTGTGGGTGAATATGCTGGCGGTCTCCCGCTCGCCCCGCCCGCTGTAGCGGCGGCGCCCCGCTGACGCGGCGCCGCTCGCGTCACACCTGTCCCCCTGCAGCTGGCGGCCTTGCGTCGGCGCTGACCACAGGCGCCGCCATGATGTGTTCCCTTCCGGGAGGTGTCCCGCCGCGAGTTGCCCGAGCAGGGGCACAATGTTGCTGACATCAAGCGAATCCTTGTGCAGCTAGGGGCCCGCATCGGAGCTGGACTGCCGCAGACGCTCGAATTTGTAGCACTCCGCTGCCCGTTGCCGTGCTCCTGCTGGGGCTGGGGCCCTCATGCGTAGAAAGGAGCATCTTCGCCCTGAGCAGGACCATGCCGGCGCTCGCTGCCAGCCGTCGGGCCCACAGAGGTGGCTGCTCGTACAGCGCCCAGTAAGCCGCGGATCTTCACCCGTAAGGGAAGGGTGCCGTCTCAGAGCATCCTCGTCTGGTCCTCCTCACCTGCCCCCCCTTTCCTTTTACTGTGAAAGAAGAAGGAGGGGGGTCCTGAGGAGGAGGGGTCCTGCGATTGCTCGCCGCTTTCGGCCGCCCAGGGCCATTCCTGGGCCCTGGAGCCGTCAGAGAACGGTTCAGGTTGAAACGCAGGTCTTGGGGAAATCCGGGAACGCCCTCGGGTCAAGGACAGGTTTCCCTCGGGACCCCATTTCGATCCCCCTCTTTCATGTCGGTCCAGAATCGGACAAACGTAAGTTGCTCCAGATCTTCCCCGAACGCTCGCAGAGCGTTCCAGATCGTTCTGGCACGGCGGCGCCCGATGCATCCCCCCGGCCCGCCAGGTCTCATTCCCGATTTATCTAGGAAGCCGGTGTTGTTTTCATCTTCTCCTCGCCCTGTCATCCATAATAATCCTTTCTCCTATTTCCTGCAGCGGCGGATCATCTATTTGATCCTCCCCCTCCCCCTCCTCCCCCCCCTCCTCCTCCCTCTCCTCCCACTCCTCCTCCTCCTCCTCCTCCTCCTCCTCCTCCTCCTCCTCCTCCTCCTCCTCCTCCTCCTCTCGATCCCCCATCCATCCTCAAAGTCCGCCATTCTCCGTCATCCTTATGCTGTCCCCCTCCTCCGTCCTTCTCCTCCCGAACACCTCGATCCCCCTCCCCCCCGCGTGCGAGCGCGAGCAATCGGATCGCGGTCGTGTGCCATCGAGTGCGCCCGTGGGCGTTGGCTGCTTCTCTGCGGGGCTTGCCCGTCTTCTCTGTCACGGAGGTATCTTGTCTGCGTCGCTGCAGCGCGGGACACAAGGACTGGGGGGTCATGGCGCCTCTCTTGCTGTTGTTTCGGGCGCAGTTTCGTCCAGCTCGCGCTGCACTCCAGCGTCTTTTGCGGCCGACTGGCACGCCTGTCTTCTAGCCCTCTTTGCCATCTGGGGCGCGGCCTGGGGGTCTCTTGGGACCGTCGTGCAGCGGCCTTGCGGCCGTCTTGGGCCGTCTTGGGGCCTCGCTGTCTACTCGGAGGCGGGAATTTATACATGACCACCGCCTGGAGGGTCAATGTTCGGGGACCTCGGCAGGTGGTGGATATGGATAGATTCGGGCCCCCAGGGACCACCATGTATCCATATCCACCGCCCTTTGGGGCACCAGGACGTCCGTTCCGCGGAGGATATGGATATATCACCGCCTCGCATCCACGGGCCTTCTTGAGGCTCCCTTTGAGCCTCTCGGGGCATTCGAAACCGCATGCGGGCCGAGGCTTGCTGGAGAGCGCCTCGGGGACGTCTTGGGGACTGTTGGAGGCCTCTGAAGGGGCTCTTTGGTGTGTCTTGAGGCGAGCTTGGGCAGTCTTGGCCGGCCTGATGGCCTGCCTTGGCCGTCTTGTAAGTCAATTAGGGCATCGTGCGCGCCGTGGAGGGCGCGATGGAGGCGTCCGGTCGCCCAGAAAGCCTCGGGAGGGAGGGGCGGTGCACGCTGAATTTCTGGCTAGAGGGGGGGGCCTCAGAATATTTACCCATCGGTCGTTGAAGGTATGTATTTTTGGATTCCCAGAACCCAATCTACTTAAACCGCCTTCCTACTTCAATCATTGATATGGTTTGGCTGTTGTTTGTTATTATTTGGGCGGGCCCGAACCCAATCTAATAGATCCGCCTTCCTGATTCATGCTCCTACCTGGTTCTTCCAACCGGCGTGTACACGTGTGTACATGACGCCCATCAGTCAGCCTTCGGCATCCTACCACGCTTCAACGTGCCAAGAGCCGCGGTGGTGGATCTTCCGTGCGACGCCACGTGTGGATGCTGGCTCTGCGAAGGGGCTCGAGTGCACGCTCTTGCCAGGCACCGCGATCATCTTCGTCTTCGCCGCCCACATCTCTCTCGCTCCTTCTCTCTCTCGCTCCGCTCCGCCTGTCTCCCGCGCGCGAGCGGGGCGGGGGGGGCCTCTGCGGCAGCCCCGCGCGGCCCGCCTGGCCAGGACCCCAGCAGCGCCTGCGCGGACCTATTCGACGAGCACGCGCACGCCGACGTCGCGCTGGAGAGCGTCCTCCGCCGCCCTCACCCCGCCGCCCTCCGCCGCCGCCAGGGTGGACGCCGCCGCCGTTCGGAGGGCTCGCCGAGGGCAGTCGCGGGGCCAGGGCCGACCCGGGCATGCCCCCCTCCCGTGCGGGAGGAGGAGGAGGAGGAGGAGGAGGAGGAGGAGGCGCAGCGCTGCCCGTGGACGCCTCGCGGCGACGCGCCTCAGAGGAGGGCGAGCTGAGGCAGCGGTCGGATCGGCCTCTGGGGGGGGCCCCTCGCCGCCGCGGCTGGGCGCAGCTCGGGCGCCTGGGGCATCTCGGACCCCGGGAGGTAGAGAGAGAGAGAGAGAGAGCATGCTGCTACGCATGGAGTGAGTGCCAACGATCGGGGGAGAAAAAGATACGGAAACGTGCTGTCCCCCTTCGTTTCCGGCCTTTCCTGGTCCTCCTGGGGAATCCTCGTTGTCACCGTTGGATTCGCCTCGAAATTCTGGTCAGAGCGCACCCCAAGAGAGGTCCGGGGACAACACGTATCCGTATCTTTCCGCCCCCCAAAACGAGGAGTGTCAGTGGTGAGGCCGTGATGCTTCTTTTAGTTTTGAGCCAGCTGCGATGCCACTCGGGGACTTCGCATTCCCGGCGGATGATGGCGGCCGGTTCCGAGCTGCTCTTTTGTCTCAGCTCGCCCTGCTCCGAGCACCGTCCTGCCCCTCCCTCCCCCCCTCTCGGAGGAGGAGCGAAAGAAGGACGTACATGTACATGAATCCACGCTGGTTTCGAGAGCACGCATTGCACAAATGTTCGTATAACGCGGCCGGTCTCGCGAATCGAGGGGCCGTGTTCATGTACATAGCTGGGTGCGTACGTCCTTTGTGGGCTCCCTACCCTCTCGGAGGAGGAGCAGGGAGGAGAGATGGGTGCGCAGAGAGTGCGGAGAAAGGGGGGCAAAAGGGCGACGGAGGGAGGAATCTTCGGAGCAAGAGGAGGGGGGAGGACGGGGGAGAGGAGAGCGAGGACGGAGGAGGGGCGCTGAAGAGGAGGTGGTGGAAGGGGGGGGGGCCGGTGGAAGGAGGAAGACGAGGAGGAGGATGCGGGATGCGGAGGAGGAATGCCTGCCCTTTCCCTTTCGCGGCAGACGCCGCACACACAGCACCCAGCAGATCCCGAGGCGCGCTGCCTGGCCCGCACGGTGGGCGTCCAGGGCTGCGCCCGCTTCGGGGGCCTGAACCAGGAGGGCCCCGCCGCTGCTCGGCAGGGAGTGGGGGGGGGCAGGAGCACAGTCTTGGTCGTGGCCGAGAGGAGGAGGAGAAGGAAGGAGGGCACAATGATAATTGCGATGCGGCTGATGATGTTGATGCTGATTATGGTGATAATGATGATGCTGATGCTGATGATGATGCTGCTGCTGAAGCTGATGCTGATGTTGCTGCTATTGCTGCTGCAGTTAATGTTGCTGATCGTGATGCTCATGATGATATTTATGAGTAGGATGATGCTGATTATGATGTTGATGATGATAGTGCTGCTGATGATGCTGCTGATGATGCTGATGCTGATGGTAACAATGGTGATGTTAATGACGACCCTGTGATGATGATGATTCAGATGATGATGATGAGTCTGGTAGTGGTGGTGGTGGTGGTGATGATAGAGATTACGATACCGACGGTGATGATGACGATGATCATGCTGATGACGATGCTGCTTCTGCTGAGGATGATGATCATGCTGATGATGATGGAGCAGATGATGATGCTACTGGTGATGATGACGATGATGCTGAAGATGCCGATGATGATAATTATGTTTCTGATGCTGATGCTGTTGCAGTTGTTGTGGATAATAGTGATAATGATGACGATCATGCTGATGATGATGAGGATGCCGATCAGGACGTCGGTCATGATGATGAATATGATGATGATGGTGATGATGCGGATGATGATGATGATGATGATGATGATGATGATGATGATGATGATGATGATGATGATGATGATGCTGATGCTGATGCTGATGCTGATGCTGATGCTGATGCTGATGCTGATGGCGATGATGATGATGCTGCTGTTGCTGATACTGCAGATACTGATGATGTCGCTGATGATGATGTTGATGATTATGACGAGACTGCTGCTGCTGCTGATTGTGATGATGATGGTGTTGGTGTTGATGATGGTGAAGCTGGTGATGATGATGCTGATGCTGATAATGATGGTACTGATGATGACGATGCTGCTGCTGCTGATGGTTATGATGATGAGGAAGATGAGGAGGATGCGGACCATGACGAGGTCGAGACGGAGGAGGAGGATGAGGAGGAGGAGGAGGTGTCAGGAGGACGAGGAGGATGTACACGAGGATTGAAGAGTGAGGGCGGACGGATGCCGGCGAAGGACGAGCTCAGATGCGTCGTTGATGATGCGTTGTTGATGATGGTGGCGATGATGATGACGTTGCTGATTATGGTACTGATGATGGCGATGACAATGATGATGGTGATGATGATGCTGATGGTGATGAGGATGAAGGTGATGAGGACGCTGATGCTGATGATGCTGATGGTTACTGTGATGGTGACGCTGCTGATACCGATGACGAACAAGCTGCTGCTGCTGCTGCTGATGATGATGATGATGATGGTGAGGTTGCCTATGCTGATGCTGATTATACTGCTCGTGTTGGAGGGATGAAAAGGGACGGCCGAGGAGGAGGATAATGACGATGAGGAAGAAGAGGCGGAGGAGAAGGAGGAGGAGGAGGAGGACCACGGCCAGGATGATAGCGATGCTGTTGCTGCTGGTGATGCTGCTGATGATGGTGATGATGAGGACGACGATGCCGATGCTGATGCTGATGCTTATGCTGATGATGCTGTTGCTGCTACTGCTGCATTTGCTGATGAGGATGAGGGTGGTGAGGATGACGAGGCCGCTGCTGCTGATGATGATGCTGCTGATGATCAAAACGCTGATGGTTGTGATGATGATGAGGACGATGAGGATGCGGAGGACGAGATGGAGGAGGAGGCGGGTCAGGAGGAGGAGGAGGAGGAGGAAGTATTGGAGGAGGGAGGAGGGAGGGAGGACGGATGTGGGCGGCAGAGGGATTAGGTGCAGGAGGGTAACGAGGAGGAGGGAAGAGGGAGCAAGGAGAATGGATGAATGTGATGTTGCTGCTGATGGTGCGTTATGATGATGATGGTGTTGCTGCTGATGCTGCTGATGACGATGATGCTGATGATGGCGACGAGGATGATGCCGATGATGATGATGACGATGATGATGAGGATGATGCTAGTGATGTTGATGATCCTCATGCTGATGGTGATGGTGACGGTGATGATGCTGCTGGTGATGATGGTGGCGATGCTGATGATGATGGTGATGATGGAGATGATGGTGACGATGAGGACGATGTTGTTTATGCGGATGACGATGACGATGACGGCGATGATGACGATATTGTCGCTGATTACGATGCTGCTGCTGATGATGACAACTCAGCGCTCTTTTGGACTATGATGATGACGATGATGAGAATGATGACGATGCTCATGATGATGCTGATGCTGCTGATGATGCTGACGATGGTGTTGATGATGGTCTGGGTCGATTGTGATGATAATGCTGAGGATGACGGTGAGCATGACAATGATGAATATAATGAATCTGAAGATCATGATGATGCTGCTGATGATGATGCTGCTGATGATGCTGCTGATGTTGATGGGCGTGATGAGCATTAACATGATGCTAATGCTGATCATCATGCTGCTGATGATGGTGACCATGCTGATATTGATTATGGTGATGTTGACGATTTCGATTGTGATAATGCGGACGGTGGTGATGATGGAGATGCTGGTGATTCCGATGATGATGACGATGATGATGATGCTGATGACGATGATGATTCGATTGCTGATGTTGTTGATGATGATGGTGGTGGTGGTGGCGGCGATGTTGATGACGACGATGACAGCGTTGCTGCTGATGATGACGATTTTAATTTACGAGGAGGGCAAGTAAGAATGAGGATGGCTTGGTGGACGAGGAGGAGGATTCGGAGAAGGAGATAAACGATCAGGAGTGGGAGGTCGAGGGCGAGGACGAGGAGGAGGAGGGACCAGCAGGAGAGGGAGGAGAAGACGGAAGAGGGGAGCAGTGTGAGGAGTAGGTATTGGCGTGCTCTAGGACATTCGATCGGGATTCTACGTACGTGGTTCTTGGCGGTTTCAGTGGGTTCCAGGTGGTTACGCTAGGAGTTGCGATGCTGAGGATGATGAGCAAGACCAGTAGGCGTATGATGAGGCTTTTCGCCAAACCTTCACTTTTGTGTGTTTGTGCGTGCGCTGGGTACTGCTGCCCCCCGTACGCCCGCTTCCTGTTTCCGCCGGGCTGGCCTGTCCCCCAGCTGCCGCCCCGCCGCCGCCCCCCCGCCGCCGCCTGACCCTGCTGAGAGCGGGCCCGGCCTCTTCCTCCTCCCCGCTGTCGCCAGGCGTTCCTTCTCTTCCCCCCGTGCATTGCGGCTTAATTCGCAATTGTTCGTCCAACATCTGCTCTTCCGCCAGCGCAGTCACTCTGCCTAGTCGCCGACGCAAAAGTGTGTGTGTGTGTGTATGTATGTGTTTGCGTGCGTGCATGCGCGCGCGCGTGCGTGCGTGCGTAAGTGTGTGCATGTGTGTGCGTTGTGTGTGCGCGCGCGTGAAAGTTTGTGTGTGTGTGTCTGTATGTGTGGTTTTGTGTGATTGGTAGTTCTCGCAAGGTTGTTTCCTTTTTTTCAAACGTTTCGGACGGTGCCCAGTTTGTTATCGAGAGGAAAAGGAGGATTGGTGAAGATTGCTGGAGGGCTGGAGGGAGGGAGGAAGGATCATGATGTGGGGGAGGAGGAGACAGGGGAGCGAACAAAGGAGCAGGAAGAGGAGGCGGAGGTTCCCGCTCTCCTCTGGGGGGTGCTGCTTTAGCCTTTCTGGACTTGGGGGTCCGTTCCCCCTCTCCCCTCCTCCTTCCGTGGTGCTTGCTGCTCCTTCTTGTTTCTCCTCCCTTCCTCCTCCTCCTCTCTTCTTGGTTCTTGTCCTCCTGTTGCTCCTCTTCGTGTCGTCCCCGCACTTGGTCGGTCTCCCTCGCTTCCTGCAACAGCCCTTTCGGCTAGATGAGCCGATTTTCAAAACCAGCCCTTCCGCAGGGAGGACCGGGACAGGCATCGTGTCACCCATCGACCGAACTTGCCTCCAGCTTCGAGGAGGAGGAGGCAGGATGAAGGGGAGGCCGAGGACGAGGAGGAGGAGGCAGGAGGAGGCAGCACGAGGAGGAGGAGGCAGCAGGAGGAGGAGGAGGCGGCAGGAGGAGGAGGAGGAGGAGGAGGAGGCAGGACGAGGAGGAGTATGAGGCGGGTGGGGGAGAGGAGCGTCAGAGGGTGGAGGACGCCTGGCTCCTGGCCGGCCTCCGCCCCTCCTTCCCCTCCCCCCTTTGCTGGGCCGGCCTTAGGTCAAGCTTGTCCCCCTGCAGGATGGATTTTGAGTGAAAAACAAGAAACACCCCAAAGATGCCCAAGAATGTTCAAAAAATGCTGGAAAAATCGTCCCCGGTACATTTTTTCACTGTTCTCGAATTTCCCCCCTGTAATTCGAGGGACAGCCCCGACTTGAGGCCGGCCCCGGTCGCCGCGGCCCTCCAGGCCCCCTTTCCCTTCAACGCGAGCATGGCGGAGGAGCAGGCCCGCCTCCCGCGCCGCGGGAGGGCCTCGTGCGTGGGCGGCTGCCGCACTGGGCGCGCCTGGGGTCTGGGCGGGCCGTGCTGCTTCACGAGCGGCGGAAGTCTCCACTGCAGCAGTGGCGAAGCCTCCCGGCTCGCTTGTAGTCCCACAAAAGCATGTTCTCAGAACCTCGTGCGGTTCCCACGACATGTTCCTAGAACATTTCTGGCTGGAGCTGCCTTGTTCTAACACATCGGGCTCCTGCTCGGAGAACACTGTTTCTGTTCTTAGAACATCTTTGGGTTGTAAGAACATTTCGTGGTAGGACTATAGGAATACCGGGACGGTCGGTCCCTGCTCAAATTCATGTCCATTCGGGGGAGCGTAAGACCTGGGTTTGCCAGGACTCGGGTTCGCCATCGTTTTTGACGACCGCGCCTCGGATTTTGACGAGTAGGAGTTTCGTGGGATGTCTGCAGCGGGAGGCCTCGTCAAAATGCAGGTTCGGCCTCGTCATTTTTTTGACGACCTCGT